AAAACTCTACGCTTTAGAACTGTAGTTACATAAACCAGTGTGTAGTTAAATTTAAAATTAGAACACTATACTAAGAACAGGCTTTTATCACTTCCTAAACTTCAGAAATAAAACCAGCTAGGTGAAATTTGTTCAGTTTCTTAAAATTACCATTTTACCAACAAAATAAATTCTAATTCTGAGCTCAAATAAATTCTAATGCTCCCATCATATCAGAAAAAAACTATTGTTATTTTTAAAAATTCTTGTTTAAAAATATTTATTCATCTTTTTGTGATTTAATTTCTTAATTTAAAATAAACTTTTTCTAACCACTGCCAAAGCCATTCAGATTTACTCAAACAGTATGCGTAGCCAAATCTTTCAACAAAAAATAAGCACCATTTAAGTACTTTTTAAGCACTCAAAAAATATTTTTAAGCACTATATACATTGACAAAATAATTTTTAAAGTCTACATGATCATGATAATATAACTAGTTTCTCACAAAAAACTCTTTTTTTGATTATATTAGCCATTATAAAATGATCAAGAGATTCTTTGGTTCAATATCAGAGTGGAAAATGAAGCCTGAAATTGAGAATATCTTGCAAAATGCAGCAGAGTTGCATATGAGAGTGCAATAATCTCATTAAACCCAGCTTAGTAGATGCACATGCAGGCTCTCAAGTATTTCATCAAACATGTAAAATAATTGGCGCTTCCATATGCTAACTACCGACGATACACCAAAATTGTTTTTGAATGAATCGTGAAAACGTTGAATAGAACAATGTGAAAAGCATGCTTTTACATAATACATGGCAAAAATCGACATTCCCTTTTCAAAAATCTCCTTTTGGAAGAGGGAAAATTAAGCACTTTTTAAAAACATCCAATGAATAAAGCACCTTTAAGGGCTGTTAAAAAACGAAAATAAGCACCTTTTAAAAACGCCATGTTAAATATTGTATAACTTTCAGTTGATTGAACATTCTCTAAAGAGAACGATAATTGAAAATAAAATTATTAAAGAGAAATGCTGTGTTAAGCAGACAATTTTGTGAATTGATAGATATGGATAGAAAATCGCATAGTTTGGCACAGGAGCCATAAATGTTAAAAATTTAAGTTTTGGTGTACTAGTGTTAAATTATTTTTACACCAAATCTTAGAAAACACACTATGTTATATTGTTATTATGTGTACTTGTAATATTTACAATATCAATTGTGCTCTTTACTATGAAATTTATAATTCCCTTTAACGTCAGCTGAAAACATAAAAAATTTAATAAAACACGGTAAGTCTTATTTGTGTCACAATATAATTTTCTTTAACAATTATAGGCTCGAGACCTTTTAGAATTTATAAAATGCAGAAAAATGTTATAAATGATAGAACTACTAATTTAAATACATATCTTAATAAAATTTCTTTAGAATACTAAGCTTGTTCATTCATTGTCTCGTAGACATAAGTGGAAAGATACACGGGGAAATTTCAAAATTCTATTTTAGAAACTTGTACTTGCTTATACTCAGTTACCTATCTATTTGACCATGAAAGTTAGTGGATTTTTATAAATCGAATGAGAGATTTATTTTAGAATATCTGAAGATTATTTAAAAACATTGAAAGCAGAATATTGCTCGAACTAATTTAAAATTCTTTTCTTCTGAAGTTTTCCAAGCCATTGAACATAATCAAATGAAATGTATTCAGGTTAATCTTTTAGTTTTTTCCAAGAACTAACCATTCAAAATAATTTGAAAACAGTTTTGAGTAAATTTACTTTTGCTCAGTGGCATAAACACTGAATAGTCTATGTTAAATACTGTGATTCTATCTCAGGTGGTAGTTCTAAGCTTGTCTGAGAGTTAAAGGCAGTTAGTACACAACGCTAATCAAGTTGTGGGTCATAAACAGCATTGTGGAGCCACATCTCTTCTGGCAAACAGAATGTTACAAGAACACTTAGCTTTGCAAAATAAAATTTATCTCTATTTTGTTAATTTTTACTTAATGTAATGCCTTTTTCATACATATTCCTAACTTATTAAACTTCCACAATGGATTTGCTTTAATATCATTGAGTACAAAATTATTTGAACTGCTAAACAGTTGATTGCAAATGAAACCTATCAACTTTAACTATATTCAAGATTTTTTTAATTATCAAACCTTAATAATCTATCTAATTAGTTAACAAACAGAACTTTTACCAAAAATATTTCAAAATTTAATTCTACCCAGCTATTTAAAATGTTAAATAAAAGACTTAGTTGTAAAACTATTTTTCTTCCCGACAATTCAAGGAAAAAAACAAAACAATTATAAAAGTTTTCAATAGTCAATTAAACATATTAATTCTGTAAATATGGATGACACAGATGAACTCCTGAACAGGGTTGCAAAAATCCCGCCCGGGTTTTACTGGGTAAAACCCACTCTGAAAAACCCACCCTACAGTGGGTTTTTCTAAGATTGATTTCTTTTTTCATCCTCTGTTATATTAAAGAGCTATTCTATTGAAATATATATGTAGTCTAGCCTAAAAAAAATTAACCTACAGTGAAGAAACTAGTTGTGTTGGAGACTGGAGAGTCACCTTGCTGGCTAGATTTGACTGTATGACCATTGATTTGATTTCTATGCAAATAAAAAATTTTCCTCAAACATTTTTTAAGATTAAAATATAAATAAAAAATAAACCTGTGTTAAAATAAGTTTCAAATGTGTGATGTATGTGAGCACATATAACATTTTGTATCGTGATATCAGAAGAAACTTTTTTCAGACTTTCACATCAATTCTTTTGTATTAATTATCTATATGAAGTAAATTTATAAAATTAAACTTAATTACTATTTATTAAAATAAGCTTTTTTAAAATAAGGTACTTATCCCTGCCCTCTCTTTCGAAAACCTCCCCATAAAAAACCCAGAAAAGCCCAATAGAACCCCACTCGGGTTGGGTTTTTCTACAAAAACCCGGGTTTTTTGCAACCCTGCTCCTGAAAAATCTGATCTAGAAAACTTTGTTAGAAAATCATTCCTAACTTATTTTTTGAGGTGATATTCTTATACACTTGATTTTGTTTTTAGCAAATGAAACATAAAAGTAAATAAGAATGCGAAATGAATATTTTTAATAATTTATAGGATATCTATTCTATCATTTGATCCTGGTAAATATTAAGGCAATATTGCTTAAACTAATTCACATTTTGAATTTCAAGAGATATAATTATCTAATTTTCATAAAAATCACTAATTTTGCAACCTTGATTTGATTAAATTTTTATTTCTGGTTTGTAGTACTATTGTCTACATATAGTTAGTTAATCTTTATCTTAAATATGTTGTTTAAGCGAACAAATGTCTTACTAAAACTTTTGCCAGTTCAAACAAGAAACAGACAGAAATGAATAAGAAAACACATGCCAACTAAATGACGAGAAAGTAGATCAGACTCAGAAGTTTTGCCAAAGGAAATAGTAAAGCATCCTTTAATGTGAAAATCACCGTCCATGGTTACATAGTCTAATATAAGAATTTTTTTTTTAAAAATTATGATTATTTCAGTGTCATAAGAAATCTTTTTAGTTTGGAATACTTGTTTACTAAACCCCATATATCTTAATATTTTATTAACTTACAAAATTCATCCCTCCTTATTGATTGCCCGTGACAGAACGTGGCAACATAGTCGCAGAACATTAGAGCTCCTAAGATTTTTTTATTTGGGAAGCAAAGAAGTTAGTTTTCTTATCTGCAGAATTTTTGAAATATTCCCCCCCCCCTTTCTGCAGAATTATATTAAAAAAATGCCCTTTTCGCATATCAGAAGTGGAAAATCGCTTCTGTTTTTTTTTTCGAAAATAAAAAAATTCTGCTATGACTGGCTTCAGCTAGAATTTCAGATTTATATTATAAAAAGTAGTTTCCAGATAGCAAAAATTTAAATCAGGTGAACTATACTAATATTGTTTAGAACAGAATACCACCAATAATATTAGAATATGTATTCTTTCATATTTAGATTTAAAAAAAAAAAAAAATCTTACATTTATAAGTAAAATTATATATATACTGTTCTGTTCTATACATGNTTTTTTTTTTTTTTTTTTTTTTTTTTTTTTTTTTTTGTGAACAGAAAGTGCTTCTGTTACTATAAGTTAGTAACATATATATATGCTACTATTAAAAATGTCTCTTAGAAAGGTGTTAGTAAAAGAGAGAAGTGTCGCAGAAAGCTTTAAAAAATTCTGCCACATGGATTGACTGTTATAGTACTTATCAAATAAAATTTTTCATAAAAGATGCATAAAATTTATGTGCATCGCAAGTGCCCAATGTTTGAGAAGGACAAAATTAAAATACACACACAATAACTTTCGAAATTTCACATATAAGCAAAATATTTATCATGCATGCTAAGTATAAGCAAAAAGATTAATTTTGTTTTCCCTTTCTAGTTTTCAAAGAATTTTAATTGATGACGATTCAGAAAAATCTTCTATATTAGTTTGAAATAGTGAGTCGGACTAAAAGAGATTTCAAATTACTGAGGAGGGGGCCATGCCCATTATAAATATGTAGAATAAAATTTTGATTAATTAGCATTAAGAGTTCTTTATCATTTCCAATTGTTTCTTACTTTACAGGCTTATAAATGAAATATTTAATAATAGAGGATTGAAATTCTATTGACTTTCTTTCTTATAATACAAATGGGAGACTTAAGAAATGCCAAAACTATTGTGAGGTCATAATTCCATTGTACTTCATATAAATTATTAACAAAAACTTTAACATACTTTTTTAGGCTTTTAATTCTTATTAATTTACTGAATATTTGAATTTATTAGATATGATAAGAATTTTTGCTCATGAAATGGCACCAGCAAGTATAAACCAGTCTTCTATCTATACAAATGAACAAAACTTAGATGAAGTAACAAAAACAAAATGAAACTGGTTTATAATTTTAAAAGAAATTTCCAGATAAAACAAATGCTATAGAACAAACACTTTATTTAAGACAGGTTACTTTAGGCCTGAAGTACAAGTATAAAATTTTCTGCAAGTTATATCTACTAACACTGAGCTATAAATTTTAAGGCATCCATTTCTGATACTCAAAATAAATGTTCTATTTAACCATTGCATCAATCAAGCACAGCAAACAAATTTCTTGCAAATGATAATAAAGATCAAAATATTTTTATGCCTCTTAGCCTTGCAAATGATTACTTCAAAATTGAGTACAGCAAAATTTGTCTACAAATGAAATTGTACAAGTTATAAGAAAGAGTAAAATGTCTTTTAGAAAAATTTGATAAATAATTCAGAATTTTAATGGAATATATGAAGTTTTACAATCTTACATCACACAAATAAAAATATTCAGAAATTCGTACCAGGCACTTTGAAGTAACATAATAAATTATAAAGTTATATTCAAAATCAATACAGATATTGCATAGCTTAAGAGTTACAAGAGTTCAAAGTAAGTCTTAGAACTCGATGCACACCTGATTAGCAAATCCAATTCGGAAACTCCACCATTACTAGTCCTTTTTTTTGGTGATTGAAAAATTCACAACTGGCTACTTACTGTACACAAAATTGTCACTTGTATAAACAATCAATACGGTTATTTATTTTACAGCAGAATATTAACATATATGAGTGGGTAACAAAAAGAACTTATTAAAGACACATCCACACATACAATGAGACAAAAATTCATTATATTATATATATTCTGGCTGCTATACAATACAGCTTTTGAAATAAAGGAAAACAAAAATATATATCTAGATTTGGGAAGGAAAAGTAAAAGCAAGAAATTTATATTGGCAATGCAGCAATTTTTTGAATGTTACCTCAAGTTCATAGTTCGGTAGCATTAATATTTTCTAACTCGCAAATAGAAGTGATTAAGATAAATAACTGGGAGTAGAGTTTTCGTAGCGCTTTTGAATCTGGTCGTAAGTAAACTTGACAAAAGTGTCATACTGCTCGGCCAATTTAGCGTTGAGGATGCGGTCGTATTCATCTCTAATTTGATTTTCCCTTTCCTTAATCATTCGCTCGCAAATCATACCAACTTGACGATAAGTGAAAAGTGGCTGATCCCGGCATGTAGGAGCCATGAGACCTGAACTGGAAGTTGGAGCAGATATTCCGGAGGAGCTATCAGAGCTGTCGCTTGACTCAAATCGAAGTTGCTTTCTTCGATGGAGTTTTTTAATTTCATCTCTAATATTCTGGGCTATCTGCTCTGAGGTTAGTTTGGAAGTAACTTCTCCGAATGGAGATTGAGGTTCGGAGGAAGATTTGAAAATCTTTGGCGATGGTGACATAACTGCTGCACATCTGCGACGTTTAGGACTTCTTCCTGTAGGACTCTGTAAAGGATCCCATTCACAACTTCTTTTAAGTGTTGCACAAGCCATAGCTTAAAGTCAAATGTTGACGTAAAAATCAGAATTTCAAAAAATTAGAATTCAGCTGAATCAGCGTCAGTCCTAGTACGACGACAATGTAGAGTAGCTAGCACTAATTAGTTCGTAGGAATATGAAGTGATATGAATACAAAAACTAAAAATTTTGTTTTCTGCTACAATTGGCGCCACTGAAATATATTTTTGTAAATAAATAATTTGGTTTGACCTCGCCCAGTGAAAATGACTTTTTTGCTATCAACAACAGCAATAGCCATGCTAATATTCAGCCATTACATTACAAGTAACACCTCAGACGAAAACTGAATTTCCTAAATTTGATTTAAATAGAACCGAAATTTATAAATTTCGTAAAATAAGGAACACGTAAAGTGCAAATTGGATATTAATAGAGGATTAAGAATTTATTTAAATAAGCAAGCCAGTCATAAATCTCATAATAAAACAAAGCACGTTCAGATTTTTTTAAAAAGACTGTTGCCAAATCAGATTAAGAAAATCTTGTTTAAAATGAACAACAGCAACGAAAAATTTTGGCTTTTTTCAATTAAAAGGTTTATCTTTACTGTAAATTTTTTTTAAATAGTAAAATTTAATTGGATTTTGTGATGCTTTTTTTCTCTTCGATTGGTGTAAACACAATAATGCATCGGTAAAACTCTATTTAAGGAAAACTTTTAACAAGAAGGTTTTTAATAAGAAAAAAATTGATTTCAAAGCTATTTTATGTTTCTCAGGTTTATTTCGAGAAGTTTTTAGCTATGCAATAATATGTTATGTTTATTTAACTGTGACTGGTACAACGTAAGTTCTTCATTTGTTATTGAAGAATTCTGCTACATTCTCTCCTCTTGTTAATGGACAATATCTTTACTTGCAATTAATTTAGATTGCTGGTTGTTTGCTTAGATTTTTTGGAGATAAATATTCATCAAAATGCTTGCTGTAAGAAATCTTCTGAGAGCTACCCGAAGTTTCACTACGTCTGCTCTTCGTCGAGGAGGACATGGTGGTGAAGTCGGTGATAATCTGCCTTTTAGTATCAACAATAGGTACAAGCTCACTTTGTACTTCATGTTATTCTTTGGAAGTGGATTCAGCCTACCTTTTCTAGTTGTGCGTCATCATCTCACCAAATAATTAACTTATATATAGTTATGAAGCAAAGCTGTTGTATCTATTTGGTTTATTTACTTTGAAGTCATCTAGACAAACCTGTAACAAATTGACTTTCTTTTGTCAAAATAATGCTTGTATAAGATAAATATATTGATATTTCGTAAAATTAAATAAAATGTAACAGTTAACGCTTAAAGTGTTTATTATATCCTATATTTTTCTAGTTGCATAATTTTTGAGGGTATATTTCATATTGGTACTTGTCCTCGCCAACTGCAATCACCAGGGCATCAAAGGTCTTCTGAGCTTGCTGAGTTAAAAAAAAAAAAAATTAGGGGAAACTTACTTATCGTGATCAGCTACTACAGTCGCTAAGGTGCCAAATAGATTTTAAACTTGAAAGTTTAAAAAAAAAGCATGTAAATATTTGACCTGGGGTGGCTACTAGTTATACCTTTCGCGTTAGTCACTTTCTGTGATGTTTTTTTTAGTTTCTCGCGGGCCGCTGCCTGGAAGTTGCCAAGTATTCTGCCATAGATCCCTATACGAAATCTTGTGGTCCAGTCCATGAAATAATATCCATTTTGGAAAGTTTAGTTAGGTGTTGAACGTAACTCTGCCTGTTGACTGATTCTTTTATTTAACTCAATAAGTAAATAACTAAACTTCTCTTATTTAACTCAATGAATAAATAGCTAGCATTTTAAATGGTTATGTTACGGAAAAAAAATTAAGGTAAAAGGGAAGTTAAATTGTTCTTTGCTAAATTGAAAGTTGGTGCTTTGGTTTGTATGCAAGTTTTATGCCTCTTCCACTAGTTACAAGTACTTTTGTTTGAATGATTTAAGGTTAGTTTTATTAGTTCACATATTTTCGTAAACTTTAAGGTAAGAATGCATAATAGGTTTCTTAGACTCTCTCATACTCGTTTATGGAAAAATGGTTTCAAGTTAGGACTTGCGATAAAAATTTCATAAACTGTTTTGCTACTTTTCAACAAATGTTTGGTCCAGTTATTAAGTATAAAATATGTACCATTTATAAGGTACTAAAAATTACAGAACTCTGCAGTACTTTATGAGGTAGCACTAATTATTAAATGACTATTATTTAGCTTGACTTAGATTTTAATTTAAGTCATTTTAGAGTTCAGTCTATTCCCCCCCCCCTTTTTTTTTAAATAAGTAAGTGGTAAAAAGGTTTTAATGACTAATTTTCTTGTTTAGATATCTAGGGCTAAGTGACGAAACAAAATTTGGCTTTCTTCTGACGCATATCTTAGGTTCTAAGTAATCCTAAAACTTATTCCTGCCTCTGAAATTCTTCAGGTTCAGACCTATAAAAGCAAGCCTGAACTCATCTCTGGCCCCTTTTGCACCTTGAAAATTTATGAATTCTTAAATATATTGGCACAAATAAGGATGAGTAAGTTTTTCTTTGTTTCACCTCAAGTTGGCACTACAGGGAAAGGTAGGAAATGTAATACTACGCCTTTGAAAAGTAGTTCTTAGCTATTTTAGAATAATTACAATTTAAATGTGTGTACAAATATAAATAAATGTTGTATAATAAGAAATATGTATCTTAAAACATGTTTTAGAAGTTTCATCGTGTTCAAATGTATTTAACTTATAAGTACCTTCTCAGAATGGCGAATGTACAAGGAAGGTGTTTTAGTTTGGCAATGAATTAGTTTCTGAAGAAGAAGAATTGGCGCGTTAGCTGTGTTTTTGCACTGGTCTCCCAGCTCTTTCGAGTCCCCTTGTCTTTGCGCTTAATTTCAATATCTTTCACGTGCGTAACTTAATTGTTCTTTTGATTTTATTAGTTATTATTTGTTAATTTTGCTATTTATTTATATTTAGCTCGTTTTTTATAGCTATTTGTATTTTTTTGTATTGATTGTTAATTTTTTTTTGTAATTTTGTGTTAGATTTTTTTTTTTTGCCTTTTTTTCTAATTACTGAATGTTAACTTGTTTCTTTTTGTTAGTTCGTTTTTGTAGCCATTAATTAAGCTTCATATCAGATTTTTAAAGACTTGAGATTTTTTTTTAAGAAAAGAAAAAGGCCATCTTTTCTTATAGAGAGGTTTTTTGGGTTAGTTTGCTTAGATTTAATAAAAAAACTCTTTAAATATAATTTTGTTTCGTTTAGTTAAAAAATATTAATAAAAAATCTTGTTTTTAAAAATTATAATACGAAATCAGCTTGGAATTAGTATCTTAAATAAATTATTATTAGAAATGCTCTAGAAAAATCTTGTTATTTTCTGTATTTTGCTAAAATTTTAGTAAGATTCTTGGTAAAAAGAAAACAAATTCGGCGCTTTGTTTTCTTTAACGCCACTTTCTCTATGTTTTTGCTACCTCACACCCCCAACTATCTTAGAGCAACTCAGTTTCCATGACAACAGCTGCAATCCAGTCTACCTGCCTTTCTCTCCAATGCCAACTTGAGGTGAAACGAAGTATAGTTTGCCTGTGGAAAATCCAAAGTATCAATCTAATTTAGATTTGTTCATGTTTGAAAGGGTTAAAATAAAGATGGTTGATCTCATAGTCAGAGATATAAATTTTAGTGATAGGAAGGTTTAAATCATTCTTGAAATGCAGTACTGGATTAAACGTACGCCATTCAAATTTTTGGGACCCTTAGATTAATTTTTTTTCTTGTATATTTTTTATTTATTCAAATATAAAAGTATTTATGTATCTTTTCATTTAAGAAAGCTTATTTAACATAAAAATAAATTAAATTTTATTTTATTTTGTTAAATTAGAACTAAAAAATAACCATAACATTTTGAAAAAATTTGAAATTTATTAACACTTTACAAAATCAATGCTACTGTAAAATTGGTATTCAAAAATCTTTTCTTCTGCTCTTGCGATGAATAAACTTATTTATAGTGTTATCAAAATCAGTTTCACAGAAAACATCCGATTCAATAAACACCAAACTTAGCATGTCTAATCGTTATTGAAACATGAAGCGTCTTTGCTCACTCTTGATTCGTTTCATTTTTAAAAATGAGCCCTCCATAGAACAATTTATCATAATAGTGAGGGAGCAATTTCAACATTTGGAAAAACAGATCCAAGTTTGTCTTGAAATAAAGTTTCGTGAACTGAGTTTTTGATGGGAATTTTGATTTTATGTAACTCTGAAACTGTTTCAGTTCAGAATAAAAATCTTCCAAATCGTCAAAATAAAAGTCAACTAAATTAGAAATTGCTTTTAAATTTATTTTTAAAAAATCCATTTTAAGGGGGCCCCAGGCCGTGATCTAGTTTAGCCTAATGGGTAATCTAGCACTGGTGAAATGGTACTTGTTTATACAGTCTTTCTTATTAATTTAGTCCTTGTTTAAAACTATCAGTACACGAGTTTGTTTTTCCTTTGAAAAATATGTAATTATTTGCTTAGCTTGCCGACTTATGGTTAAAAATGTGAGTGTATTCCAATAAAAGTAATCCAATATTTCCCTTAACTGATTTTTTATATAACTCAAATCATAATGGATTTTGTAATATATTAGTAAGTTGTATTAGTGAAAGTTTTTAAACTAGACTTAGAGTTTGTCCCTTTCTGTGTGAAGTTTTTCATGTGCTACTGTCTGATTCAATTTGTTAAAAAATAGTGTTTTCAAGGAGATAACACTAAATTCTACAATTAGAGTTAGTCACTTTTTTTTTTGTAAAAAATTTTCTTTTGCGGCCCAGCACTTATAGTTAAATTCAATTTGTTAAAGTATCATACTGTTCAACGAGAAATGGTAGTGAAAAACGCTATCTAAAACTAGGCAACGCTTTTAGCTGTTTATCACCAAAGTTATGACAAGTAGCACTTGTCTAGGTAGCAGTTAATATAAGTTTTATTGATAAAATTCTAGAATTGATAAGAATCTGCAATGTTTACAATAAACAGGCCTTCATGTTTACATCTGCTACCTTTTTATTGCTGAAAAGAGAAAAGTGCCTTGCCTGGAGGTAATGTTTTCGTAATTACTCTTACTGTTAAAAAATTTTTTTAAAGCAAAATCACATTTTTGATACTCTAGTGCAAAATGTAAATTATAAATTTTGACTTTAATAGAAAGATTTAAACTAAGAAATAGTTCAAATGAAATGAGGGATCTGGCTGTTTGATATGATTTTTTAAAGACTTTTGAAAATTGCTCATAAAATATAGGATTGCTATGGACTGGAAACGAAAGAAAGTTGAAACATTAATCAACCAGGAAAGAAATAGTACTGAAAAAGCAAATGCTATCAGAAAGTAAAGTTGGCATGATTAAAAGCACATTTTAATCAAATAAAAAAAAAAAGATTGACTTAAATCAAAAATCCAATTTAAA